CTTGATAAAATTGACTTTTACACGTCAATTTTATCAAGCGAACGATGTAGTACCTTGTAGCCTATTTGCAGATATAAATTCACTTGTTTCACTACGATTAGTTACTACACAATGGTCAATATAGCAGAAGCCTTAGTATGAGTTTCGTTTACGTTTAAAGTAAACGTAACGAATACGCGTTCGGCGCTGTGATTGGTTGCTTCATTGGCGCCGGCCAATCAGAGTGTCGGACGCGTACTCGTTTCGAATACTTTAAACGTAAATTAAACTTGTACTAAGGCCTCAGATAGGAATTTCAAATTACGCACGGTGATAGTTCGAGGTTGATGACCTTTTTTCATCTAGCTAGATAGATCTCTTTTGAAATGTGAATTAATAATGATTTACATCTATCTGATTTTTTGAGAAATAGCCATTATATTATGCTCTCTGTTGCTTCTTTCTATCAGCTATCTGCATGCAACATATCATGCAAAATTATCTACTACACTATCCATCTTTGCTTCAAACTTTCCCTTCCTGAGACCCCCTCCGTATCCATCACTCTTTTATTCATATGGTTCAACCTTTCTCATAACATGCTTTTACCATAATAGACGGTTTTCCCTCCGTTTATTTATTAAATAGTATTGCTAACTATGTACTGAAAAGTTCACTGTTACGTAGTTAAAGCATTTCATTTTAAACCACTAGACTACATACAGAACATCACGCCTTTTATTCCCGAAGGGGTAGGCAGAGGTGTGCATTATGCCCCTGTACAATGTAACACCCACTTTTCACTATTTATGTTATGAGTTCCATGTAATAGGGGGTGAGCCTATTGCCATATACCGGGCACAATTCCAGACTCCGTGCTGCTACTGAGATTTTTTTTTAAAAAAACCCTGTAGTTCTTTACCCAACCCGGGAATCGAACCCGAGACCCCTTGCCCGGCAGTCGCACTTGCGACCACTCGGCGAACGAGGCAGTCTGATTATATAAGTATGATTCGTATAGTTAAAGGTACCGAATTTAGGTAAATAATAGTGCCTTAGTCAATTGTTTATCAGGGTATTGATTTGATAAATCATGAGCTAGAATGAAGAATAATTAATATTTATTTGATAACAATAATTTGACCGAACTTTAAACTTCATACGTGATAGATCATTGACCTTACGAACACGTAGTCAACGAAGCAGTCGATGCAATCCATTAAGATTCATTATTACTATTAATATTATGTACGTAACTTAAGTTTTGATACTACCTAACAATGGATGGTACGAAATCTTAAACACACACAAGTTTGAAGCAAAGATTTACTTAATACTTAGTCTTAAAGGTTAACATTCTAGACATTTATGTAATGGTTCAAAGTCAGTCTCGTATTGTTTAATATTTAAGTGTATTAACCCTATAACTATGTACTTTATAAAATTAGGTACTTACAGGATTATTGAAAAACAATCAATGAATCCAATTTAGTTAGTATAATCTTATTAGTATTACTTTTTTTTTATAAAAAAACCCACTCTAGGATTGTCTTCTGGGTCGTAGGTGCACATACACATGACACCCAGACCTGAAAAATAATCTTTGGATGACACAAAGAGTTCTTTCCAGCGGGAATCGAACCCACGACACGTAGCGCGGCAGCCAGTTGCCCAACCACCGCACCAACCGTGCAGTCAATCTTTAGTATTACTACAAATCATTTATCATTCATTAGGTACTATTATTGCTATTGCTTCTTACAACCTTTTGCATAGGCCAGTGCAGTTGCATAATGAATCTTGCAAATCAGACGTGTTGTTTAATGTCGACTTGTCAACTTAAGTGAACATAAAACATTATTTAATGGACTATCGGAGTTCGAATATTTTTTATTTTAGACCGAGACAGGAATGGAGATATTGACACAAACTTACATGACATTGACAGAAAAAACTGATAGAAGAGGGATTTTTTTGTAGGAATCGGTTGGCTCAGTAGGATATTGTGATTAAATAAACAAAGATTCAAAATCCTAAACATAATTTCTAGCGTTAAAATTTTTCATAGTACATCCTCCTTGAGTTTTGTTTTCAAACATACCGAACGAATCTCAATAGGTACGACCCAATCGAGATAGAATGTGCTTGAGTCACATTATTGGTCGTTTATTGAAATTCGAACCAAACCATTTCCATGGGACATTGTTTTGGGGTTCCCAATGTGTTGTACTCATGAATAAAGGGCCTGCGACTCTGTGAAACAAATGTTTGACTTCGTGTTACATTTCCCGATTTGAATCAGCGATTTTTTCACATTAAAATTTATTAGAATATTTTTTTTATATTTTTCTGTATTAAGACTGCATCATTTATTTTTTTGGGGTAGTCTACAGAGTTTTATTGATATTCAGACATTGAGTTTAGAATTAAGTACTCTCAAGTACTATAACTTGGCGAGTTACTTTTTGGTAGGATAACTTCGAATTGCCGATAATTGCATGAACTTTTCACTCAACGCCTTATGAGCAGTTGTATAAAAACGTATTAATTAAGGTACAAGAAGAAAAAAATATGCAATTTACTCTTGTAGTAATAAGATGTGGTTAATTATAGTGTGTAACATAGGTATTTATAAATTGATTATACGTATTGTATAAAAAATTTATAAATGTATGACAAGAGCACGGACCAAGAGTCCGTGGAGAATTATTATGTAACATTATAAAAAAAGCTACAAGAAGAGAAGCGTACCCAAAATATGTACACGTGTCAGTTTTCCAGGAATAAAACATGTTTCGGAATCCAGAAAATTATGTCATTAAGGTCGGTTTTTGAGACTGATTGTAGGTTTATCAAAGTAGGTACTGGTACAATTTTGTTATTACACATGTTTCCGTTTATGTGGGATGTGGGTGTTATGCAAAATTTTGTAGGTGTTACGTGAGTTTTGTTTACGTATTTTCCTTGACTAATTATTGTATACTGATTTAGTAGCTGAGAATAACTGGGTACAAGTTTGTTGATCTAATGTAAATCGATGTAAGAAATAATAGAGTAGGTAGCCTATTTAATTTTCATCGTATTAAGCAGAAACTAATAGGTAGTCACGGGTTTGACTAGTGAGCTAGTGTTATTAGGGTGCGTCCACATCTGGCGAATGCTCCGCGAATGCGCAGCGTGCATTATTATTTCTACAAACCTTGTATGAGTTGAGCATCAAACCATTGCCGTGTTGCGGAGAACCTAACGGGTAACCGGGGCTCCGGCTCGATGTGCAGGAGAAGAAACGGGGTGGTTTTTAGTCAGTAAGAGACTGACACTCCCTCCCGCCTCACCCAGGCGGGAGCAGTCATTGGATGATTTTTCCCCTTAAAAAAAACCATTGCCGTGAATGTAAGCTTGTAGTTGGTGGGCAACCCGCAAACGGCTCTGAGCGGCACTTTCGGGGCACATACACTACCCTTACCATTAATTTCTGAGCCGATAAATAGTTAAATTCAGTATCGAAATCTTGAATATGGTAGAACTGAGATAAAAAAATAAGGATATTAATTTAATTCCCAACGATAAATATAAATACCATAGACTCATTCATTCGTTCTATTATCAAAGTATTGAATAAAAAATTGAATAATTTATTGTATAAATGAATTTTACGAATTCCTATAGAAAATACTCGATCGTTCGGTCAATTTCATTCGATGATAAACATGCAGTAAATTGTATTTATTTATAAATAAATATTTGAATACATAAAAGAAAAATTCAATTACATTTTTTATATGTTAGGGATTTTGTCAATAAATTGATTTTTCTAATATTTTCGTTCAAAGTATGTTTTGAACCTTTGATGACGCTTTTGACGAATTATTTCAGTTTGAATTATGTTATTTTTGGACATATTCAATAAGTTCGTGAATAAAATTAAATATGTCATTCAATTCGAATGAATATTCAATTGTTGTGTTGCTTCTATTGTAATCTTTAATGTCTAGACATCTGGGGTTATTTAGGAATCTCCAATTGTGAGCAAAGAAAAGGAGCTATTAGCATTTATTCTTTGTCATTCCTTGATAAATCCTTTCTTATTACTGGATTTTTTTAAAAGTCTCAGTAGTAGCACGGATTCTGGAATTGTGCTCGGTATATGGCAATAGGCTCACCCCCACCCCCTATTACATAGGTCTTATAACTTAAATAGTGAAAAAGTGTGTGTTACATTGTATAGTGGCATTAAGCGCCGTAATGTGCATCTTTGCCTACCACTTTGAGGATAAAAGGCATGATGTTATGAATTTTATTAATTGTTTTTTTGCTCCCACGTGCATATTCAAACTTTAATATTTGAAAAACATATTATTGAATCTACTATAATATGCCAGTTTTCGTTTTTAAAGTCAAAGATACACTTATAGAGGACAAATTTCCCACAATATGTATCGACGCCATGTCAAGTGAAGTCTGCGAGTCATAAGGCGAACTTATGTGCCATATGATCGAACTTATGTGTATCCTTGGATTAACTTTACGTGTGGAACCTTATTCTGAAATTTTATCTAACATTTACTTTTTCTTAAAAAACAGCAAATATGTGTTTCGAAAAGCCCACAATATAAATAGTAACTGTAATAATAGGGTAGACGACTAATTTTTATTTTAATGTCCGTCTGATAGATTATTTAAAAACATTAGACACGTATTTTTTATTTTCTTAAGGAAACGAATAGTTTCGAAGATATATTGATTTGAAATGTCGCGTGACGTCACTTCTCAGTACATTTTATACTAAGAAATGACGTTTTAGCCCCCACTCCTAAACTTTGATTCGTTTTATCTAAGTATTGTTTTATTATACGACAAAATAAAAAAATACGTGTCTAATATTTTTTCATTAAGTACCTAACTTACGGACTAATTATATTTTTAATTTTCATACCCTGTCATCATCCCCATTATTACCTGTAGACATAAATACTTTACAATAAAACCTTTTCATAAAAATATTTTTCTTTTCAGGAAACATGAGGCAATCCGGTATAATACTGTTAACAGTGCTCGTTGTTCAGGCGTATTCAGTGAGTATAATACTTTTCACAATAATTAAAATACTTCAAGTTGTTCTCAATAATACGTGTATTAAAATTGACACGTAATTACATATTAAGCAGGCATTTATGATTTCGAAATTCTTGTGAAATTGAATTTTATTTTGATGCGTGATAATTTTCGTCAATGTATCTGAAATTGTATCTGTTAAATATTAGTATATCATCAATATTTGATAACACATAATACAATTATATAACAAATTATACAACAATATAACAATATATACAAATTATACAACAATATAACAAATTATACAAAATACTAATAAACTAAAATAACTCAAAAAAAAATATAGTATACAATATGATACATAAATTACATAATGGTGTGTGTTTCTGGATGTTTGTGTGTGGTTAAGATAGGAGATACAATTATAAAGAGAGGAAATGCCCTTTAACAAGTTTTTTAAATTGCGATATGGTTTGAGCTCGCCTCGCTGTAATCGGTGAAGCATTCCACTACCGAGCTGCTTGCACTGTAAAGGATTTGTCGATTACGAAGTGGAATACAAAGAAATACTGAATTTCAGACTCTCCGATAATCTCAAAAACTTCGAATATGTACCGCCAAGGTACGTAAAACGCGCTTTTAGATAAGTAGGGGTAGTGGGATTAAAAAGTATATTGTAAAGAAGTCGAATAATATGAGTATTCCGGCGAAGGCAAATAGGTAGCCATTAGAGCTCGTTGCGGAACTCAGTGACGTCATATTTACTACATATACATATATAGGTCAAATTGAGAACCTCCGTCTTTTTTCAAGTCGGTTCAAAATATGTTGAGATCTATACGTTTATTATATTTTCTGATGTATGTTTTTTGTGTTTCTGTTATAATATTTTATATAGCCGGTTATACATATATGTGTGTACAAGTTTATACGTAAGTAATTATGCGTAATTTAGACATTCACTTACACTGCATACATAACGACGTCAAGGACTGACAAAGGTCAGTGGTTTAAAATGAATAATTATACCATTTAGTATATATATTACACATACTGTATGGTATAATATTATACAACATAATATATACAACAGTTTTGAAAATACATTATGTGAGTAAATAACGAGAATTCTTAGGTTAATTAAATAAAATTTTGAAGGACGCAAGCATAATAGTACTTTGATATGTAAATTCAAATTTTCTCGCATAATAATTAATGAGAGATTTCTTGAGGCTTGAAAATCCGTTAATTTATTACAACTTTGTCTCTTTACAATGTGTTATGTGTTCGAAAATTTTGTAGGTCGTGGAAAATTTAGTTTATTAAAAGGAAGATGGATGAAGACGGTTTAATGAAGTAGTGAGATGAAACGACGTTGTATTACACTTTAAACAAATACACTTTTGGTTTCATTAGTAAACAAGATAGATGTGCTTTTCTGTGTCAATTAAAAATAGTAAATTAATTGGATCACAATTACCTATTACCAGAAGAACGGAACTGGCAAAGATATTAGTATTTCTTACTACCTTTGTAAATATATGTGACAATATGTCCTTGTTTATAAAAAAATTATTAGACATATCGTCATTTACAAATATATATATATAAAAGAAAGTCGTGTTAGTTACACTACTTATAACTCAAGAACGCCTCAATCGATTTGAAGGAAAATTGGCAGGAAGGTAGCTTAGAACCAGAAGACGGACATAGGATACTTTTTGTACGATAATCTTTTTACTTTTTACCGAAAATCACGAACGGGAACGGGGAAAATGATTGCGCGTACGAAGTCGCGGGCAGAAGCTAGTATTCAATAAAAAAAGACACAGAACAAAAATAACTAAAAAGTTTTGGTTCAGGTCTACTTACACACCCACACACTAATATACCATTCTATCTTGGTATCAACACATTCAATCCTACTAATATTGTACATGCGTGTGAGGATGTATGTGCGTATGTGTGTGTGTGTGTGTTTGTTTGTTACTCTTTCACGTCAAAACTGCTGAAGGGATTGAGATGAAATTTGGAGCAGTGGTAGATTATGATCTGAAATAACACATAGGCTATTTTTTATCCTACGGGAATGCGGGCAAAAGCAAGTTTTTTTATGGCATGAGCCGATAAACGGGCAGATGGATCACCTGATGGTAAGCAATCGACGTCGCACATGGACACCTGGAACACCAGAGGCGTTACAAGCGCGTTACCGGCCTTTTGAGGATTAGGAGTTTGAGGATCGTTGGGGATTCAGGAATTAGGGAGATTGGGGAAGGGGAGGGTAACTGGGCCTAAAAAAAAATTATTGAATTAACTTGAAAACAGATGCGTAACAAAAACAATCGTATCCGTAAACAAAACATTGCCCTCATCATAATGTATGATAACCTACATGAAGTTTAACCTACATGCAGGGTTGTCTCCAAAAACGCCTGTTTATTTTGGCTAGTCTGCGTGCCCGAGTTCATATGTTGAATTGAACAATTTATCAATGTCGCATGGACCTCGAGCGCTTTGTGACTTGTGAAATATTATGCGGTCACCCATCCGGTAGCTGGCTTCGTGAACATTTTGGGATATTGTATAATAATCATCATTTTTAAAATTCCATGGTGTGGAAGACGATGGTGAAATACTGGGTTTTAACATGTAGGTATTTCGAGTAATTTACCATCATAATCAATCGTAAGATGTGTAAGTTTCTATCAGGAATATAATTATCATTGTTGTTGAATGACTATTGAAGTTTTTACAAGCGGTAAAGAAACTATAGCAATAACCACTTATTCTACTTAACTTTCATTGTTTTTTTTTATTCTAATTTTATATATAAAAAAATACAAATACAACTTCGTTATGGAAGTAACGGTCTAACGTTAGTTTGTTTTTGGACTGAATTGCTAAAACCAGTGTTGAAAGGAGAATATTGCTTTTTTCATGTAGGCACAGTGCATGAAATATATGCTGGTAAACTTTTAAGAGCTGGACTGAGCCCAAAAATCCTCTGCGAATGTATTCATAACTAAATACAGGGTGGCTACATAGCTACACGATCATCCAGATAATATATTTCAATACATAAAAGAATAAAAAAAATAGGATAGGGGAAAAAGACTTTTAGGTACCTACTTAACTATAATTAGTAGAGTATTGAAAAATCGACTCAACTCCACCAAATAATTGAATACAAAATGTTTTGCAGCGCTCATACAATAAATGTTAGAATTTAGATAGCTGCAGGAGGATTAATAAAAATAAACGTTTTTGCTGGATTTAAAAAAATATAGCAAGAATTCTAGCCAGTAGTGAGTATTTTTTGAAAAATCCTCTAGGGAGTCCAATTGAAATCTATACGTAGAAACAAAAAAGGTAGAAACAAGGCAGCCTGATTAGGTGGTTGCCTTTTATACAGTAGTTTCATTATTGTTTGTATTTGTATTGTTATTCTGAAACTAAAAATGTTGCTTACTTAGTTTTATTTGCTAAAAAAATACTCTAACAATACTCTGTAAAAATATGAAAGAGAATTAATTTATAATTCTAATATTCATTTTATTTTAAGTAACAATTGTGCGAGAGCCATGTTTCGATACGAATGGTCCGGCTCTACCGGAGTGATATCACGGCCTCACAGAAAACAAACGTGAAGCAACGCTTGCGTTGTGTTTCGTCATGTGAGTGAGGTTACCGGAGGCCCAATTACCCTCCCCTTCCCCAATCTCCCCAATCCCTGAATCCCCATAGATCCTCAAACTGCAAATCCTTTAAAAGCCGGTAACCCACTTGTAACGCCTCTGGTGTTCCAAGTGTCTATGGGCGATGCCGATTGCTTACCATCAGGTGATCAGTCTGCTCGTATACCGGCTTATGGCATAAAAAAAAATCGTTCATGTTTGTGTATTGTACAATCTTCGTTATTTTTGTTACGAGTTCAATGGTAAGATATTGAAGTCTTCTCTTTGTTTTGCTGATGATATTTTTTAATAAATCGCTTCGGGGTTTATTTTCTTAGTAACAAATCGAATGATACGCAACAACGTCACTTCTTCTGACATATTATATGCACATTAATATATTCTAACCTAACTAATTACTTTGAGAAAAACCAAACATAGAACTAAAAGAACCATAACAATAATATTTCGTACCTCTGTGTCTGCTACATCAGACGCTGTATGCACTATAATTATTCAGATCACGTTTGAGCGGGTGCGGTACAGCATAGACCTTTGCCGGTAGTAGTGCAAAAGGCCAAATTGATTGATTGAACACCGTCGTCATAGCATCCCGCATTTTGTACTTATAGAACAGTGTAGATACCGGCAACCTATCCAAGTCTACGAAAGTATTTAATAGATTTTCAACTTTGTCTCAAAAGTATAAGGTTGGATGTCTGTTGACAAAAAATTTTGACTAGAACAGCTTGATGTGCCGTCTGAATACCTATAATATAAACAGAATAGAAGGTACATACATACATGTTATGTATTACGATTCTTGTCATACGTATACGCTCGGAATGGGTTTATACGTACGTATTTTAATTACTTGCCTACCACACTTCCTGCATTGTAAGTCTACGTTCAAGTAAGTAGAGGCTTAATAATGGAATTTTATATTAACTTGAAGTTTGTTATTATGAGTAGGTATGTTGATTTAATCATCTCTAGTACCTCAAACGGGTAAGCAGATGTGAGTACTTGCAATGTCTAATGTGAGAAATAAAATATTATTTTTTGCTCTTAATGGGCTAAACCTTGAAGTTTATGTCTTTGTTCCTATTTGATTATCATGGTAGGAAAAAAACATACTTTTATTAATAAAACTTTTTAGATTGTTTGAATCAAGTTCAAATATTTACGCCCAAAGCGTTTTAACGTAATTTTCCCAACTGTTTTCTATTTTTACTTTTATGATCGTTGATTGTCCGTAAACAATAAACATGGGCCGTTGATTTTAATGGACTAATAATCAATTTAAACAAAAACGAAAAAGCCTTTGGAACAAAGAGAAT